TCTTTCCTCCCTCAGAAATAAACCAATTGCCACGGATATCAACAACCTCAAAATCTTTATATCCATCTTCCATTTCAATTTTTTGAATTTCCATCTTCTTATTTTGTATTTGATGAACATCCTCAGTTTTTTCATCACATTTTGTTGCCAAATGCACCAAATAGTCCAATTTTCTCTCACTTCTTTCCACCCTCTTCAAAGCTAAAAGTATCGCTTGAAGAGACGCCATGTTTATTCGCAGTTGTATTTTTTCTTAGAAGCTCAGCAAGAAACCCTTATTTCTGCAGGAACATTTTTTATGATATAGTTTTGACAAAATAAATTGATATTTATTTATTGTTACTGAATAAAGAAAAGAGCTTGTTTTTTTAAAAAAAATCACAAAACTCTCTTTATCTTTCACAATACTTCTCATTATACTTATTTGTTTTTCCTTTGGTTATATAATATTGTCTGAAAATGCCATCACACTGAGTTAAAATAAACCAGTATATACAGTATGTCCCTAAATTTAGCACATATTCCTAAATATTCTTTAAGCATCTTGTTTGTAAAAGGATTCCCAAAGTGGGATTAGAGCTAATAGTAATGCATTGTTGATTCAGTTTTCTTGTTTCAAGAGAAAACTTGAAGACTTGATCAAAAAGGGAGAAAGTAATAGAAAAGAAAATGATGTGTGTGATTGATGTAGTATCTCTTCCTCTTCCCCAAATAATCCCCAACATATGTTTTTCTTACATTTTTTTTCAGTTATTTAAACGTAGAAATGTTTCTCTGCTGTCCAGCGAAGAGTCAATGCAGGAGAGCCCAATCCAGGATCCTGATGTAAGCTCTACTGTACCAATTCTGGAGGTAAGGAATCTATCGCACGCCTTAAGGCACATTTACAAATCTGGCTAAAATTTTAGGAAATTATAATGGTTTTCCATTTTTAGGAAGATGTGATTACGTGTGACATGGTTCAGATGGTTTTCTCAGATGATCCTAGTCAACAACTTGCAGCAACCCAAAAATTCAGAAAATTACTTTCTAAAGGTAAATCAGCAAAACATTATTTTCTTCTTAATATTTAATAAATTTTAGTTTCAGTATTTGCATTACATTGAATATTTTTAATATTACATGATAGTTCTTAATTTGTTTTTAATCTTAAATTATTGTATTGGTACAGGAATAATTTAATGTCAAATGTCCAATTACAAAATGAAAAAGAGAGACACCCTCAGATGGAAAAGAAGAGGCACTTGTACATTGTATGGGTTTCTGTTGTCCTACTAGTTTAGATAATATGTCACCCAGCTGTTAATGTCACTCCAATTAAAATTTATTGTTTTTTGTGGGATAAAAGTTAAAATGGAAGCTAAAAGTGATTTAGGAACAGCTTTTAGAAATGTATAACTTATCCTACTGGAAAAGGCCATATTCTCTACCAGTCAAAAGATGAAGCAATGCATACTATAATTTATCTTGTATTTGATATATTAATTGATATTAATTAAGCAGTGACTATTACCATTGTGCCAATATGTAAGATAGAGTGTTATTTTGTTTGGTTTGAGATTTTTTTTTCTTTCCCTTTTCAGGTTTGTACTCCTTGTTTTTGAGGAAAGAGTAATCCTTTTTAAGGATTCTTCAGCTTAATTTTAACTTTAAAAAAAGATAAATGGGCTTGTTCCATGTTATATCTGCCCAGTGTTTTCAGATTATTATTTTTTTAATAAAACAAGCTATCAGTAAGTCTAATTTGGAAAGAGGCTAATTAACTGCTTGATGGAAATAATTAAGGTTTCCCACTCTAGTATATATATGTTACAGTACACAGTACATTAATACTATAATAATGGAGATGGAAGTAGCAAGAGAGAGAGAGAGACTCTGCTTCTTCCCAACAGTTCAAACATTTCTGCAATGCACTAGAACAAGTTTATTTTAGATTTAGTCCCCAAACACTAAGCCTTACAGTAATTTAAAAGGCTGAAGAACCATTACCATTGTTTAATCAAAATTGCTTGAAGACACAAGTGCTCTAGTCTCTATAAAGAGTTTGGCCCCAAAGGGCACAATATCTTTATGTCTGTTTTCACAAATTAACCTACATGTCCTCCCTTATATATAAATACAACCAGGAATGTAAGTAAAATGTAGGACAGATCTTTTCATTTTTAAGGCTTTTGTGTAAGTTGGCACTTGGTTAAAGGAAAGCATATTTTGATTGCTTTCTTCTTTCAGCTGTTATTCAAGTTATTAAACCATAGTTTTGATGGTGGTGTGCCTTCTAAACTGCTGTTGTTCTCTGCTAGTTCTTGAGGTTTGTATGGAAAGGTTTGAGTGCACCATCCTGAGGCTTTCTTGCATCCTGCCTGTACCCTCAGTTTATAATACTTCATTCAATAATGATTGATTTGTGTGATTCACCAGAGCAACAGATGGCAGTAGCATTGCCTAAAAGTGGATTAGAAGCTCCACTTTCATGGCTATTATCATCATACCAAATGAAATCTTCTATTCAAAGTTAGTATGTTAACTGATTATTAAAGTTGGGAAGGAGCAACATAAAAGGAGCTATTGCTTAGGGACTTCTTAGAAGCATCACACTGATCACTGTGAAGCATCTAGGTGATGAATCTGTGAAACTAATTGGGTTCTTACATATGAAACCATGAGAAACTATGCAATTCCTTAGTAAACATTTTTTTGACTTGCACACTGATCAATTTCCTAACAAAGAGCTTTGCTTATCTACGTATGTCAAATGGTTTACATTTGTTTTCTGTATTTCAGAGTGTTTCTCACAGCATTTTAATGTCGCGATACATCAGTGAGTTAGGTTAGATTTAGAGACAGAATAAATTCGCTAAGAGCAATCAGCTTGCATAGTTTAAAATGGGGACTTTAATTTCATTCATCTGCAATATTCCAGCAAGTTCATTATGGGAGTTGTGCTGTTCAGTGTTATTTATACTTCCTTCTTAATTGTTTTCCATTGTACTGAACTTAATGTAACTTATTTTTATTGGATTACTTTATCTTTCATTTCAGAACCCAATCCTCCAATTGATGAAGTTATTCAAAAACCAGGAGTTGTGGAGAGATTTGTCAAATTTCTAGAAAAAAATGATAATTGCACTCTTCAAGTGAGTTCCTAAAATAATATGAGATACATTTTGGAGGAAGGACAAGGAATTAAAATGTTATATCTTCCCTTTGGAATAGGAGGAGAGGTTTTGCTTTTCTGTCCCCATCATTTGTTAAATATTTTAACAGTTTCACAAGTTAAATGGCCCCAAACATAAATATTATGTCTTGTAGGAGGAACACAATTTAAATTTGGTTCCATAGTGAGCACGTTATTCCCACAAGCAGATATTTTTTAAAGATATTGAATAATATAAAATAAATAAATTGAGACAACACTGGATTGAGATTGAGATTGTTTGCTTATAGTGCTGCCATAGTTTTCCATTGTTACTCCCAAAGTTTCAAATGTAAATTGTTCCCATTTGTTGAAATTATTTAAATTTTATTGAAATATAAGAATATTTTACTATTCTCCAAGACTGCATTTATATTCTTGTTAAAATCGTGTGAGAATGATTAATTTGAATATTCCACACAAATACTAAACTGTTATTTCACTGCAGAGATTTACACAATACAATTGAAGGCTGGCTATATTCTTGTATGGAAAAAGGAAGGGCCATAAAAAAATAAGCATATCGAATTGATTGTAAAATAAACTCTTAAAAGTCATATTTTTACCTTCTAGTTTGAAGCAGCATGGGCTCTTACAAATATAGCGTCTGGAACTTTCCTGCATACCAAAGTGGTAATTGAAACTGGAGCAGTCCCAATTTTTATTAAACTCTTGAATTCTGAACATGAAGATGTCCAGGAGCAGGTAACTTTTTGTGACTTTTTTATTATGCAGATTCAATTGTACTGTAAAATGTTAGGCCTCAGAGAATTTTGGGAAGGAAAAAAAATAATATATATTTGAATAAAAACAAAATTTGATCTAAATTTAATCCTAAACTATGGTTAACATTAAATACTTGAATCATATATTTGTGTGTTCTCCACTGTTTTGTCTTTAGATGGCACAATTCAGAAGCTATCGAAAGTTTTTGCTTCAATTGTTGATTTATTATGATTCACAGGAAGCTAGAACTGGGGGTTGAATGTGTTTAGGTTTAGAAACAATACTTTGATATAAACTGTTCTCCTAACCCAGTTGCGGGATATGCTACTCAACTCTCAATTAATTTGGGTGGCTTGTGAGCCAGGTAGTATCTATCTCCATCACATGAAGGTTTCGGTTGCCGGATGGCATCCAGCGTCACCAGGATGCAAGATGGAAAGAATCTGCTGCTTGGTGGTCTAAATCATTTTCCCATTGTCTCAGATAAGAGTTTGACTTAATTGCAAACTATGACAGTTTGGAGATACTGTGGCTAGTTTAAACTGGGAGCAAAAACTGTGAACCTCCTATTTATATTGTGCTGAAAGTTAGGAAACAGTGTGGGACTTTTACAAGTCCAGAATTCATACACATGATATTGAACATAGAATATTGTACGATCACATAAAGCTATTTCAGCATCATAGGGAAGTGCAGTACCTTGCCTATTTTAAAAAGTATGTGCTGTTTTAGTTACAGCGCATTGTTTGTGCATTGTATTTTCTTATTTCAGATAGTTAGGCTGCAGTCCCATGCTGGCTTACTTGGGATCAAACCATACAGAAATCACTGGCTTGTGTAAATATTGTTAGGCTTGCATTATTAGAAATTAACACATGTAGCAGTAGTTTTGGATTTTGATATGCAATATTATTTCAGTATATTTGTTTCATATCAGTGACTTGGGTACATAGTGTGATGAAATATCATTACTACTTCTGCAGAAATAAAATAATTCTTGCTGCATAAGCTCACGGACAAGAATGAATTTATACTGTGAGATGAACGACCATACAAATAAATACATGTTATATTTACTAAGCATCACATTAATCATCTTTATATCTAAAAGATTAATAATATTCAAATAGAGTAAGTGAAGGCTTTCAAGAATCAGCAATTTTCCTAGAAATTTGAGTCTCCAAATATTAAATTGCAGGACCAAGACATCAGATTATTGAAGATACAAGGAAATAGCTAATCCCATTATTCAAAGCCAAAATTCCAAGCTTTCTGTTCTGTGACTTGCAGTGACCCGTGTACAAATATACTGTTATACTAGAAGCAGTTTGATCTAAATTTTGGGAGATCTGTTTTTAATTACCTCCTCAGTTAGGTCTTAGATGTAGCTCTTTTGAGGCTTCAGTGGTCAAAGTACTTGCTCAAATAAAGGCACAAATGTGAGATCTTGGCCTAGTTTGTATTGAGAGATAGTTGCATTTCCAAAAGAAAGAAGAAAATTATGTGGTTTAGTGTGGGTTTACCCACCAATCAGTACTTAACGCTGGTACTAGAAGAAGCCTGCATGAAGCAGAAATCTTGATAAGAGATGATACTTCATATTGCTGGTACACCGAAATTATGTATTTGTCTTTTACTATCTCTAATTAAAGGTAGTCCTTGACTTATGACAGTTTGAAGTTATGATGGCCTTGGAAAAAGCGACTTGTGACCAGTCCTCAAAGTTATGCCCATGATACCACTCAAGCTGTCACATGATCTTGGTTCAGACCCTTTGCAATTGGCTGGCGCTTATAGCTGCAGTTTCTTGGAGTCACATGATTGCAATTTGCAATGTTCTCAGCCAGCTTCCGACAAAGTCAATTGAGAAAGTTAGATTCACTTAATGACTATGTGATTTACTTAATGACTATGTGATTTGCTTAATGATCACAGTAAAATGGTTGTAAAATCAGATCTGGTCATGTGATGACTCAGTCACTAAAATTCCGGTCCCCATTATGACTGTAAATTGAGGACTACCTGTACATTGATCACATTCTTATGTTCTACAGAAAGTTGCCTATGTTGGTGCATTTGAATATGATGAATATGATGGAGATTCAACTATATTCCATATTGGAAATTTTAATGTATACACTCAGATATTGAAATTAAATCAATTTGCACACATACCTTTGGATTGCTATTCATTCATGACAGTTGGAGCTAATGTCCCCTATTATTACAAACTATAAACTATTTAGGTTGGTCCCATTAGGTAAACATTTCATGCTTAATTATCAGTATTTTCAATTTCCAAAAAAGTAACTGAATTTTGCAATTTAAAAAATGCTATCACTTCTTTATTTGATTATTTTATTGGATTTGTAAGGCAGTTAATCACCAAATGACTCAAGAAAAGAAAGAGTTGCAATTGTGATATAACAATAGAAGATAAATATCAGCTATCTAAAGGATACAGATATTAAAATAATCATAACTAATAACGGATTCATTGGCCCTGGGCCTGCTGAAAGAGCCTGATTTTCATAGTGTTCCTGAAGCATAGCAAACTGTTTAGAAGTTACCCATTCTGCACAAAATCCAATTATGCTTATTTTATATTAAAAACAGGGCTTTTATATTGGTTGCTTTGTATGGAACAGAGGTTTTTTTTTTTGCTTCTCCCACTCTATGAATAAAATAAATCACTTTACTGTTATATATTGTTACAGATAATCCTAGACTTACAACAGTTTGTTTAGTGACTGTTTGAAGTTGCAACAGCACTGAAAAAAAGTGGCATATGATTGTTCTTCACACTTACAACTGTTGTAGCATCCCCTTGGTCACGTGATCAAAAGCCATATGCTTGGCAATTGTCTCATATTTATGAGGGTTGCAGTGTCCCGGAGTCATATGATCCCCTTTTGTGACCTTCTGACAAGCAAAGTCAATGGAGAAGTCAGATTTACTTAACAGTACTGTTACCAACTTAACAACTGCAGTGATTCATTTAACAACTCTGGCAAGAAAGGTTGTCAAATGGGCAAAAATTCACTTAATGCATGTCTCGCTTAGCAACATAAATTTTGGGCTCAGTTGTGGTCATAAGTCGAGGATTACCTGTATAGATGTTTCCATATCGATAACAACTATGTAGAGATGTGAGAATTGGCACGTGGATTCTTTCAGTGATTGCTCCTATGCTGGCCTAAATAGCCATTATCTTTTGCAGGGGTTCTAGCAGTTAACAATACAAGATATTTTTAGGCTCAGCTGCAAACATGAATTCCCATGGGAGTAGTTGCTTTCATGTTAACATTAGCCATTTAAGTAATAGGTTTATTTAATTTTGCGCACAGTTTATATACTTCTGCATAAATGATCATGTTATAAACTGTAAGCATAAGAATTATAGATAAGTATTTTAAAGCCTTAAAATAATTATGAATATTAATTTACATCTTTGTCTCTAAGGCAGTGTGGGCCCTTGGAAATATTGCTGGAGATAATGCAGAATGCAGAGATTATGTATTAAGCTGTGGAATACTTCCTCCACTCTTACAGTAAGTACAGATCATCTCTGGTAGTTGATTGAATGGTATGCATAACTACCTAACCAAAGCAACCATGTTAATTGCTAACTTATAAACAGTAGGTTGGTAGTGTTCAATGCAATGCTTCAGATTCCCAAAAAGGTGCTTTTGAGTGGGTAGAATTAGAAACATAGCATTTATCTGTAATTCTTTTTAAACATCTAATTCATTTCCCATAATAATCTAGTAGGCATGTGATCTTGAGAAAAGGCACAATTGCTTTACACAATTGCCAACATATTGTATTATTTCCAAAGCACTGCCCAGCCCTTGAAATTATTTTTTTGGAGTTAAGCACCATTGCACTTAACAGAACATCTGAACAGAGATGCATAGATTTGAAATGTCAGTTATATACTTTTGGTGTTTGTTGACATAAAGCTTCTTGGTGCTAGAACGTGCCTGTTTTAAATCACAGCTTTTATTATAGTAAAGGTTCTAATTATTTGTCTAAAAATTATAAAAACACATTTCTTCTCATTCTCTTTTTTCAAAAATTTATAATTTCTATGGATTATGTCCAATATTGTATTCACAAAACCAGCTACTCCTCTTCTTTCTCTTCCATGCATTCCCCCAATTTGCTCAGATAAGGTCACGAATAAACCAGTTTCACTGCCCAGGAGATACAAATAAAAAGAATCTGTTCTGCAGCTGAAATGCTACTCAGTCATTACATGATTACATTACACGAAAACCTTTGAATATATCTATATTAATTTAAGTGAAGTTATTTTCATGTACATGGCAAAAATAGTCATTTAAATTATTATTATTGTCTTGGCAGACTCCTAACACATTCTAACAGGCTCACAACTACCAGAAATGCAGTCTGGGCACTTTCAAACCTCTGTAGAGGCAAAAATCCACCTCCAGATTTTAGCAAGGTAAGGCCCATGTTTCACTCTATAAAAACGCTATAATAATAAAATGCATACATTGTGTTGTTCCAAGGTATCTTCTTGTATAAATTAAACTTTTTCAAATGTCAACTATTTATGTCCAGATAAAGATTTCTTTTTGTCATAGAATGGAACTGAATATAGTACATTAACTTTCTGACAATGATACTCACTTTCAGAGTAGACAATGAAATTAAATTAACATTTGGCTGTAACAGAGCAAAGTAGTAAAGGGGTGGCAAGTTGGGGGGGGAGAAGCGAGACGCACGTTACAAACACTACCAGAGGCTGACAGCTCCGCTACGTTCCTCGCCCTTTCGTCCAGTGAAGCCCCTTGTAAAAAAAAACCTCGTGAGTTGAAAGGGGGAGGAACACAAGGGTACTTGGAAAGATAAGTATACTTGCTAAAGGGATGGCGGGGAAGGGAACCAGGCAGGCTGTCTTTACTATTGTGGTGAGGTGTGTGGTATTGGGCCGTGAGGCGCGCCTCTTACCTTTTCAGGTCCGTTGCATTCCTCACCATTGTGTCCAGGGAAGCCCCGGGTTAAAAAAAACCCTTCTCGTGACTTCAAGAAGTTTGATTGAACTCGCGAGAAGGTTTTTTTTTAACCAGCAGCTTCCCTGGACACAATGGCAGGGAATGCAACGGATCTGGAAAGGTAAAAGGTGTGCCTCGCTTCTCACCTGCCCTAGAAAATAATAAGCCCCTCCCCCTATTATAAGCCCAAGGCCATATTTCGTGGGGCAAAAGAAAATAAGACCTTGTCTTATTTACGGGAAAACACGGTACTTTAAAGGTATCTTTAATTGAGAATTAAAGATTCTTTAAATTAAAGAATGATGCAGGTTTTGCTCCAGGATTTTTTTTTTATTTTTTTTTTAAAGCCCTTTAAGATTTGTTTAATTTTTGTTGTAGTTCAGTTCCACTTTCATGCCTTTTTTGTACATAGTCAGATGCCCTGACTATATTTTAAGGATATTTTAGTTCATGTTAGTATGGTTGCGATTGATAAAGTGTTTTGTAGATTTGGCATATGCACTGCATCATTCTGCAAAGAGACACGATTACAGGCATTTTTTAAAAAGTATCACTATTTTTAATTTAATAGTTGTTGGTTTCCATCTTTGGAAAAATGTTTTCAGTAAAAAGTAATTTACAATTTGCAATTCTCTCTTTCTAAACTCTTAAGGTTCGTCCTTGCTTAGGTGTTCTATCAAGGCTGTTGTTTAGCAGTGATTCGGATGTATTAGCAGATGCTTGCTGGGCCCTGTCTTACCTTTCCGATGGACCGAATGATAAAATACAAGCAGTTATTGATTCTGGGGTCTGCAGAAGATTAGTAGAACTTCTGATGTAAGTCTCTTTAAATCAGATAATTATTTCACCAGCAGCGCTGCAGAAGATAGTAGAAGGTGTTAAATTAAATCAGTGTGTCAGATATAGTTTCTTCATACCATATCAGCGCCTCAAATGAGCCTGCAGTGATAGTTGTCTTTCTTGCCTCTATTCTCTTCTGTGAGACAGCAGGAATTCTACAATTGGCAAATTCAAGACAGGCACAAGTATCCAGTTCAGCTTATTTTTATCTATCAGTTTAATCTGTGCCTGTATTAAGCAGTACATAGATACAAGAAGTCTGCCACCAATTGTTGCAATACAGAGTGTTCCAATGTAAAGGTTTAGTCACGAAATAATAATTAATTCCAGTTGAAGATTCTGTTTTGTTCTCCCACCACAAACACACATGCACACACTCTCTCTCTCACCTACACAGCCAGACACACCTGAAGCAATATTTTCCATTTTCTCCCCACAGTATGGTTTGATTTTGTGCCAATGGAAGTGATTAGACTTCATTCAACAATTTAGGGAGATTCACTTGGTTTTCTTTTAGAATTGATTTTATTGTTGATTTCTTTTTCTACTATAGAGGTCATACTCTTGACCATATTAAAAATACATTACTAAGAGCTCCCCTGAATTATTTCAAGCAGGTAGACATTTTCCATTTCATGTTAATCAGTTTCATTCTTTTTTCTTTCCATACAGCTGGTGCATTCTGAAGGCACTGGTCACATTCCTTGTTAATTTTTTTCTTACAGATTTAGTAGAAATAGTTTTTACTTTTAAAAAAATGATAGTTTCTGAGGTTCCCCCCTTTCCCCCTTCTTTTTTTTAATTAAATAAAAAAGAAAGAAAAGGGAAAGGCTTAAAAGAGAAACAAAATACATATACGGTAAATATTCTCTCTCATACATACATAGAATTGTATCATATAGACAAGTCATAATTCAGTAGTGTTCACAGATAATCTATCAATTCAGACTACTAAATAGTTGGAATCATATGTTTGTTTCTCCAGTGTTGAATAGTAAGCCTTTTGGCTAACATGTACAAAACAAATGGATTTTATCCAGATGTTGACTTTTATATGATAAAAATGAACTTCAAAAGAAAGTAAATATCTGAAAATATTGTTTCAAAGTTAAGACATATAATTTATTTCCAAACAGAAACAATATATTTAAATCATTAATTTCACTCTATCTCTAATAACAAATGCAATGAGCTCATTTCTAAAATATTACATCTTGTTGAAAAAGATATAACATAAAAATCTGTTGATTTTTGTTTAACATCAAAAGAAAAGAAAAGGATTCATTTGTGCAATCGTATATGAATTTTGAAAAATGCATATATACAATTTTGAAAGAGTGCGTGTGTGTATCTATAAGTTCAGAAGAAGTGCTTTATGTAATATGAGAGCACAGCATTTCTCTGCATTTAATTAAAGCAGCCCAGCTTTTTTTTCAACTTCTGAACCACTGTTTTGAGAAGTCAATTTTATTATTAAATCCTGCCTCTTCAATATGATGATGCTGGGCTTTTGTTCTGCCCTGAGATAAAATATTTTATACCCCTCAGACAGGGTCCGCAACTTGGGAGTCCTCCTGGATCCACAGCTGAGTTTTGACCACCATTTGTCAGCTGTGACCAGGGGGGCATTTACCCAGGTTCGCCTGGTGCGCCAGTTGCGGCCCTACCTGAACCGGGAGGCTCTCACAACAGTCACTCGAGCCCTTGTGCACCACGGTTCGCCCATATAACACCGATCCTCCGTGAGTTGCGCTGGCTACCTGTTGATCATCGGGTGCACTTCAAGGTCCTACTTACCACCTATAAAGCGCTCCATGGTAGTGGATCTGGCTATCTGAGAGACCGCCTCCTGCCAATTACCTCCCTGCGTCCCATCAGATCGCACAGGGTAGGCCTCCTCCGAATTCCATCCGCCAGTCAGTGCCGACTGGCAACTACGCGGAGGAGAGCCTTCTCAGTTGCAGCTCCGACGCTATGGAACAACCTCCCCGTGGAGATCTGTACCCTCACCACAGTCCAGGCCTTCCGCACAGCCCTCAAGATCTGGCTATCCCGTCAGGCCTGGGGATAGGATTTACTCTCACCCCGCCCGAATGTTGAGTGAATGTTGTGTTTTATGTTAATTTTTTTTACTCACGTTTTTCTTTTATGTCTTGTCTTGCACTCCCTTCCCCCATTGTTGTAAGCCGCCCTGAGTCCCCTCAGGGAAAAGGGCGGCCTATAAATGTTCAATAAAGTAAAGTAAAGTAAAGTAAAGTAAATATGGTGGAATTCTTTGGTAAGCTGTATGAAAGAATTATTAGCATAGTATCCCCAAACCCATATGAATAGTTTAAAAATGTTTGTATCAGGAAGAATACATCTATTTATCTTAAAATACTTCAACAATTCCGTTGTTTAGGCACAATGACTACAAGGTCGTATCGCCTGCATTAAGAGCAGTGGGAAATATTGTGACTGGTGATGATATTCAAACTCAGGTAAGCTGATTTTTAAACTTTAGCGATATTTCTGAAAGAGACAATAGAATCTTATGACCTCAACTTATCAGATATAGGGAATATTGTAGCCTTATTCAGGCATTTACCCAAATGCTAAGAAAGTTCATAGTACATGGAGTCCAGTTCCCCCTTCTCTCCATTCTCTGTCCACCTATGAAGTCTGAAAGGAAGCAGTACTCGTAATCCCTTGGAAGCAACTAGAGATTCCCATGTAATCTGGAACTTCAGTAAAAGAGGGTCTTGGGTTGTTCTAACAGTTCTGCAAAAACTCAAGCACAGATATCTGCCTGACTATGTAGAGGTTGGAAAGAACAAGAGTAGGACTATATGGACAAGCCCTTCCTCCTATTTTGAGCTGTTTTCAACTTTGATTCCAGCATTTGTGCTATCCGGGTTTGTATATTGGAATATTTCTCTGAAAGCTCTGTTTTGAAATATGTCTTTCAAATACCGGAGATGTTTACAGTGAAGTAATATTTCCCTGCTTTGCTGACTTTGAAACTAAAGAGAGCCAATGAACTGATACAAGGAAGACCACTTTGAAAGAAATGCCTTGAGATAGTATAGAGAGAATGGGTGATGACTGAATATCTGGAGGAAGAATGTGGATTGAACTTCTTAAGAAAACTGATGGATACTGTGTAATAAACCTACTATTTTCGATCAGAAGACAACTGTTAAGAGATGTAGTTCAATTTGTATAAAAACCTTCTGAACAATGAGTCCTATGGAGATATTCACAAAAGAGATCTGTGACTTTGGAGAATGTGATACAACTGTTTGGAAAGATCCCAGTTATAATTTTAAGGAAAAGTTTTAGTATTAAGAATCAGTTGGAGATATTTGACCCTGGACATACTGAGATAATGACTGCAATGGTTTATGGTAAATTATAATCTGTTGTGGACTTTCTGTGTGTGAAAGGTGGAGGAAAACAAGGGGAAAAAAATCTGCCTCTGCCTTCCAGCATCTATCCAGTATTCATCTGGCTAGCATCCTTGCAGCAAACAGCCTGGTCAGCTTCAGCACATTATTGCAGTCAGCTTGTCAGGGCTTCGCTCCGTTGTGCCCACCATCTGTTAACTGAGCTAAGCTGCTGCCACCGGTGGGGAACGCTGGAGCTTTCACTGCCAAGTAGCTGATTGACGGTTGGATCGGCCTCCAGGAATACCGCCGATCAGCTGTTCTAGGCAGCAGGGATTCACTGATTGCCTTCACTGATTGCCATTTGCTGCTGTTGGCCGCCTCTCATGACCACTGACATTTGGCAGTGGTGAGTGGCAGTGGCAATCCCCGCCGCCTAGAACAGCTGATCGGTGGTATTCCAGGAGGTCGATCTCACTACCAATCAGCTGCTCGACAGCGAAGGCTCCAGCATACCCCGCCGGCAGTGGTGATCAGTGTTGTCATGCGGCTGCATTCGCCACCACTGCAACAACCCCACTCCCCATGCTGTAATATTTGCTCTATAAGACGCATAGACATTTCCACCCACTTTTTTTCGGGGGGGGGGTGTGTGCGTCTTATAGTGTGAAAAATATGGTACTTAATAGATTTTTAATAGAGGGCTTCGAAGCATAGTTTTGATGTTGGATTTACCTGTTAACTTTTTTTCTTTACAGTAAATAGAAGGTAGATCAAATTAGAGGGGCAAATAGAGCTGTAGAAGTTTATAGATTATAGAACTGCTTTGCAATGGGGGGAAACTTATGCTTGAAATATATTTATCAGTATTCAACTGAGGGGCCAATTTATATGTATGTTTTTTTAATGCAGATTTTTTTGTCTTGTTTAGATTTGCTTTGTTTGTATGCCTTTTTGTCTGTTGAAGTATTGTATCTTAGTGTGGTAATAGACTTGTAAAATGTGAAGCATAAAAGTAACTGTAGGCGTTTTTATGTATAGTGGTATGCAATAATTCCTTGCACTGCAGGACTGCTTTTTGAATGTAGATAGTATCTTTGATACTCATCGTTAATTGGTTCCGGGTGGCACATTGAGTACCAAAAAACGATGAATACTAAACGAATTTTCCCCATAAGAAATAATGTAGTGACTCATAAGGCAACTGACACTGACAAGTTCTACTTTGTGCGTTGAGTACCAAAGTAACGATTAATACTGGGACAAAATATTCATGTGAAAATGCATTGAGTGATGAGTTTCAAAGCAGTTGAGTGCCAAGGTACCATTTTGTTTATTACAGTATGTACCTTTCCTTTTTCCTTTTTACCTTTTGTCTTTCATCTGTGCACCTTCACGCTTAGTTTTTATTGAAAAAATAAATAAAACAAAATCTAGAACAGATTTTTTGAAAAGTATAACATGCCTTTTTTCTATGCATATGCTGTTCACTGAAATAGTAACTCAACATGTAAATACTGTGATTTCAGCTATATGCAATGTACTTTATTTTACATTGTTTAGGCAGAACTTTTCATCTTTCAAATTATTTTAGGTAATTCTAAATTGCTCTGCATTACCCTGTCTCTTACATTTGCTGAGTAGTCCCAAGGAATCTATTCGAAAGGAAGCATGCTGGACAGTATCTAACATCACTGCAGGAAACAGAGCACAAATTCAGGTAATCTGTTGCCTTTGTTATGCATTTTTTTTTTTACTCTTAACCTTTTTTGGGGGGGGGCTTGTTCTGTTCCTCAACCTCATTTATTTTTGTTTAATCCAGTGAATATGCTGGATAGGTGGGAAGGGATGGGCAGCTTTATCTGGAGGTTACACATTCATTACAACCTTATATCCATGCATTTAAATGTCCATTAAACCCATATGTATATTGCTTGTATCATTACTGCAGATTTCTTATTTTTTCCCTTTTTATTGTTTTTTGTTTTATTTTCTTTACACAATTGAAGTAATTGTATCAATTTATTTGTATGTGTTGCTATATACTGTAGATAATATCAATCCAGGCATTTCTGCAATAATATTTTTGTTATTTGGTGATCAAGTCCATTCCCTCCACCCCCCCGCCCCGCCCGGTACATCCAGAATTCATTGAATGGGTATCTGTGAAATTGAGAGTTTATTGTAAGTTCAGTATTGGATTAGTCTGTTGTCTTAAAGCATTTCAGAGTTATTACAGTATTATATATATATATATTTCCTTTAGGCTGTTATAGATGCAAATATATTTCCAGTATTGATTGAAATTCTTCAGAAAGCTGAATTTCGTACTATAAAGGAAGCAGCGTGGGCCATCACTAATGCGACATCAGGAGGGACTCCTCAACAGATTAGGTAATACATTGCAGTTGATTCACAGCAATGCTGGTCGCTGAAAGAAACTTCTTCGTTTAGTAACCTTATGCTCTCAGACAGTTAGAATTTGCATGCCACCGCTCCTCACTTTCAGCACCCAACACTGTAATGGCTGAGAATTCTGGAGTCAATCTTGAGGGCACAAGTTTGTGAAAAGCTTCATGAGGGAATCATAGTATACCTTGAATATCTTCTATATATTGTGTGTGTCTGTGTGTAAGTGAGTTTTGCCCCATTTTATGACTTTTCTTGTCACATTTGTTAAGTGAATCACTGCACTTGTTAAATTAATTACACAGTTGTTAAGTGAATCTGGCTTCCCCCTTGACTTTGCTGATCAGAAGGTCACAAAAAGTGGACCATGTGAATCCAGGACACTGCAACTGTCATAAATATGAATCAGTTGTCAAGCATCTGAATGTAAATCACGTGACCACGGGGATGCTGCAATGCATAAGTTTGAAAAATTGGCATAAGTCACTTTTTTTTTGGTGCCGTTGCAAACTAGGTCACTAAATAGCAATAGCAATAGCAGTTAGACTTACATACCGCTTCATAGGGCTTCAGCCCTCTCTAAGCGGTTTACAGAGTCAGCATATTGCCCCCAACAACAATCCGGGTAAATGAACTGTTGTAAGTCGAGGACAATATGAGTATTGTCTATTCCTATTTCTTTGTTCTAAATACCTCTACGTAGCTTGTAAAATAATTATAGTATAAAAATAATAACTTTAAAAAACCAAAATAAGAAATGATGTAAAATATAAACAATTGACATAAAAAGTAATCATAATAAAATAATAAAAGTGAGCAGCATGTTAAGAATGTAATGCCATGAAATAAAATGAAACTTCTAATACTCAAACTTGCCTAAATTGCATGTTCCTAGATTTACTGATATTAAAAACATTTTCAATGTATGTCTGAAAAGAGTGAGGTAACTAATGGCCTGAGGACATCCTAGGGTGGATATTTTTTATGCTATCCGGTACCAGAAAGGTCTGTCCCCACAATTACAGAACAGGGGACGTCTCAAATTACTCCTGTTGTTTCTCAGGAATTCTGCTGTATAACAGTATATAAATAATACACAATCCCCGATTGGCTAGATTTACACATTTTCTAAGTCATTGGTCATTTAAATCTGGAATAGAAACCTGCCTCATATATAGTTATCTCAAATGCTATGATTTACAAACCATAGTGCATCATATGAAGCCAAAACCAAATTTTACCACCCTATGTTTTAGATAATGTGTGAATCAAATCTGTATGTGTGAATAGCCCAGAGGGGGTTGCTAACAGGTTTACTGCTGGTTTGCTCGTGCTCGCACATGCTCATATGCACATGTTCAGGCAGGTTGGTGGAGCCTCCTGCCGCCGCCACCTCCAGTTCAGCCAAACCAGGAGCAACCGTCATCTGGAGTAGCCACAAAAAAACCAAATATATTTTTCTCCTCCAGTTGTTTTCATGAACAGTAGTTTGGTAAAACATGTATTTTCGGGGGGGGGGGGAATGTTTAGTTTAATTTTTCACCTTTACATGCTTGATAATATATTAATTCATTTAGAACAGTGTTAAAGTGTTAACATTTTCATATGAGTAGAAATTATATAACATGAGTTCATGTTAGAAATGAAAGTTTGTTCATAGATCATTCAGATTTCGGATCATTCAGTTTTTTTAAAAAAATGCATTGTTGGTATTTGGGATAAAGTTATACATAATCATATAAGGAGTGTGTTTCTTTTAATAGCATTATGTTTTCAAAAATTTATATTTTTAATATTGTTTATTGAAAGCATCCTATATATAGTTTATTACAGTCAACAAAAAGAAAAACCTGATTAGTTATTTTCCATCCTCTTTCCCTCCCTCCCCCTTTCTATATAAAAGTTACTTAGTGGCATTAGGTTGTACCAAACCTCTATGTGATCTTTTGACTGTGATGGACTCTAAAATAGTCCAGGTAGCCTTGAATGGACTTGAAAACATATTGCGACATGGAGAACAAGAATCAAAGCAAAACGGAATTGGAGTGAATCCTTACTGTGCCCGTATAGAGGAAGCCTACGGTAAGAAGTGATAACTTAATACCACAGCAAATGTTTTCAACATTTCTATTGAAAAATTATCAACTCTGCAATAGGCAAATGATTCCTAATCAACATAAGATATACAACAGTAGCAATATATAAGTCACTTGTTTGCTATTCTGGGAGTTGTCAAGAAATGTCTTTTATTTTACCTGTTTATGGAATTAAGAGCTGTTTATTACTGAGCAGTGCTTGAGTATATGTTGAACAGTATAGATCTTACGTGTGTCTCTCTCTCTTAATTCCAGGACTGGATAAAATTGAAATCCTTCAAAGTCATGAAAACCAAGAAATCTACCAAAAGGCTTTTGATCTCATTGAACATTATTTTGGCGTGGAAGAGGAAGATGTAAACATTGTTCCCCAAGTGGATGAAAGCGAGCAGCAATTTGTGTTCCAGCAACAGGAAGCCCCCATGGAGGGGTTCCAGCTGTAACCCTTGGCTCAGAGGACAGGAGCGCTTTTGTGGTGGCCTTCATTTGCTGCCCTGAGGGGGAACGTTTTGCTGAAGAAGATAAAGGAACAACTCGTGAACTCAACATGTGCTTATTTCCCCCCCCCCCCAACTATTGTGTGTTGCCATTGTCTCTTTCCTAGAAATACCAACCATTCACAAGTTAAAAAATAATGTTGTATAGCTTGAATTCTCACCTCAGAGCAGACAGCAGATTCTGAGTTTTCAGGCAGTGGCTAAAATTGCACCATTATCCATAACACAGCTATGTGTGATATTTTGGATTTTGGCAGTGTGGTTTATACACTACACTAAAATCTACCTCTATTCCTTGGAGCAAAAAAAAATATGTTTCAGAACTACAGACATGAGCTCCTAGTAAATGTTAAACTTAGAATGTGAAAATTATTTATTTAAATAGTGAAAATATAGTTTTATGTGTGACACTTTGAGACAAACTGGTGAAATATATTTAAAAACAACACTTCTAGGAGCACGTTGCTGGTTACATACCATAACATTAAGCATTATGTCAAAAGTACAGTATTTCTGCTGTTTGAAAAGAGGTAGCCAGTTTCAATTTGTAGTTCATCCAGACGTGTTCCTAGTTATGTAAAGGAAGTTCCTTCATCCTTTTAATTTCTGTGGAATTGCAAAAGTTGCCAGTGCTTTAACTAACTATTACAGCTGATTTCTTTAATGACAGCTTGATGACATGATGTGGAAAGCTTTATCTGCTGACATGTGTCCATTAAATTACAGGAGCTTTTTTTCCCTACCTACTATGAACTTCTCAATTAGAAAAGTATGTTTATATTGTAATGATTATTGTAAGGGAACTTTCTATAGTTGCATACTAGGAATTCTGAACTGCAATATCCATGTTTAACTTAAAAGCTACTAAAATGTGTGAGGCTGCAACATACCCTTTTAAAGAACAAAGTTAGATTATTTATTTACACAGTGTATTGTGTTTGACCAAATATATGAATGCATTATAAAACCCCTTTTTTTAATGTTTGGCAATTTTTCTAACTTATTGAAAACAGATCACCAAAAGTATATTTTCTAACAGATCAGCAGTAGCACTGGGAAAAATCATTTTCCAATTAATTGAAGGAAAGCACTTGAATATACTATTATTTGTGACAACATATGTAAAATAAGTTTATATAATACTGGTTAATTTTATTTTATGCTAGAATGAACATTTGAGACCATTTGTTTTAGAGTATGAATCTTATATGAATTGGGAGAGCTATAGCCCAGTTCAAGTACTCTGATAATTTTGCTTATCAGAAATGTCTTGATCTGTATAATAACTTTTTAAAAAATGATGTATAATACCTACAAGTGATTGATTTTTTAAAATACCATGTAAATTTCAAATTCATGTACTCAAATTTTCAAAAAGGAGTTTGCATTCAATGAAATACATGTTCATTCACGAACATGTATTTGAGTTAAAACACTGCTCTTTTTGTCATATATTCAAGTACTCCAAGAATGATCTGCCAAGGAAAATAAGTCATAATTGGCCATTGTGCCATACATCTTATGTCATTGTTATAGACACCCCTTTGTTTCAGTATTAGATCAATATTAGGGTTTTCGGAATGAAGCTGTTCGATTACTTAGTAGTTTTAATGTGGGTCAGGAATAAAAGGCTAAAGTGTTCAATATAGCTGCTTCCTGTATTAACTCTATTGTCATGGCCTGTGGAACTTGTTTTGTATTTCCATTGTAGTAGCTGACATACATATTTCTACTACATACAAGATTCACAAAGGAAGTGTAACAACAATAGCCTTCACAAAGGCAGTATAACAACAATATTTACTCACGAAGAATTGTGGAAGTGCTGCTTGCCTTGGGAAATATAAGCTTATTAGTTAAAAATAGGTATGTATGAATAGAGAATCGTAACTGAGGAAGCCACCTCATATGAAAACTTGCTGAAAGTCCAGTGCAAGATATAAGAAGTCTGCTTAAATCTGCAGCTAGATGTCCTATATCTATCATTGATAATGGGATGATGGGATTTGAGTATTAGGGAACGTTTTATATTTATATCATTCATTCCAAGAACAGTTTAAATTTGCCAATTGAAAACTGAATTTTATCGAGATTACTCTAGAATGTTAAAAGAAAAAGGTTGTGACAGGGTATAACCATTGTTCGTTTGTTTGTTTGCATTACACAAATTACCAGTTGTGCCTGCTCTTAATTTCCGAATGAATAAATAAATGCTCTCATCAAAGCATTTTTATCTGAACAAAAATGTAAGATTACATATGATTTAGAAAAAAACATAAATCTCAAATGTGAATTAACACAACTGTTTTGAAAGGATAATTTCATCATATAAATCATGAGTATGATAATTTCTGTATATTGCTGAAGACATAATTTTGACCTTAAATTTTGAATGCTTAAATATTAGTATCTTACAAATGAGATGTAAAACCATTGCTTGATTAAGAAACATTTCAGGAATTGGTCCTTTAATAGACTTGATATCTACAGCATCTGCAGGATGTGTAGAATTACAAAAAAGTCCTAAATAGTACATCTTTGAACAATTCAAAAATATTTCAGATTTAAGAATTCCGTCCTAATTCAACTTGACACATTCTTATGTAATGGCCTGAATTTGACAAGACTTTAAACTATGCAACTATGCCAAGTATGTATTTCAGATACAAAATATAATGTGCTTTTACTCAAGCAGGTTTACATTTAGAAAATAGATGGATTATGGTCTTAAAGCAAAGTACAATTACTTTTACATACTATCTCAGTTGGATTTATTTGCTGGCGCCTTATTTACATTTTGTTATATTAATTAACTAAAAATGTATTTAGAAAATGTGTATTATGAAACCGCTGAAAGAATTGAGATCTATAAAAACACATTTTTTATTGTGTTTCAAATGATCATCTGTAATTTATTGCATCTTTGACAAACTACAGACTCAATCTGAAAATATCAACAGTATGCAATATTGGGGAATGTTACTACTCAACACTACAATGCAAAATTAATAAATGTATTTTACATGATACACATGGCGTATATTTATTTAGGCTGGCAGATTCAGATTCCTGTGCAAATTTTTGTGAAAACCCAATTGCTTTCAGTAGAATTTAATTGCTGATACATGAGAAAACAATTTCTTACTGCAAAGTTTTCCAACCCATGTCTTCCTGTGCCTTAGAAACTGCCTTAGAAGCAAGCTTGTGTTTGGCAATGCCAAACTTTTCAAATTAGATTGGACACCAGGTGGCAAATCTGTCTCTGTGTGTCTCCTCCCCTCCCGCCCTGTCTAAAAGGTATATAATTATATAGGGTATATAAAATATAAGATCTGACATGGGCAGGGGATTAAACTAGGCTCCCAAGGTCCCTTCTGGCCTTATGACTTTATTTTACAGTTATCTCTGCTTTCTAAAGTATAAGCTATGAGCAAGGGTCTTTCTTTTAACCTTTTCAAAATCCTGCAACCTATTTTGGACTTTGAAAAAGATTCTTTCCTAGAAAGGCTATCTGAGTAAATAACATTGCCTGATCTGTCCCTACCACAAATCTCTTTTTTTTTTAAAAAAATTGCCTGGGGTGAAATGCTGGGATTCCCCTTCAGCATAGAAATACTGAAATCAGTCAGTTCCAGATATTGTTTGGAAATAGCATAATGAACCATAGTTACTCGTAAGATAAGGTAATAGCTTTCTGTTATTTGTGGGTCAAGAATAACCTCATAATTTGAGACCCATCTTGGATGTTTCTTGGACCTAAGGAATAAAGGCAGCAGGTTTTGAAGAGAAGCCCAAAGGGGTATATAATCCAGAGGGCTTATTGGGGTCTTCTAAATCTCAAATCCAACAACTTTTAACACTGCACCACACTGAATCATGGGGTAGTTACTATATAAGAGTAGATAAATGTGCAGTTATATATGCAACTTCACCCAATTGTTGCTGTTTCTTATAAGCAATGGATGTCCAATACTATTCTGAGCACCAGAGTTGTGTTGCATAAGATGGCTGGCCAATATAAGTCTTAACTAACACTCCTAGTTAACTAACTCCACACTGATGCTAAGATTGACCTTGTTGATCAGAAGGTCAGCAATTTGAATCCCTAGTGCTGCATAATGGAGTGAGCTCCTGTTACTTGTCCCAGCTTTAAGCCACCCTAAACATGTAAAAATGCAAATAGAAAAAATAGGAACCACCTTTGGTGGGAAGGTAACAGCGTTCTGTGCGCCTTCGGTGTTTAGTCATGCCAGCCACACAACCATGGAGATCTCTTCGGACAGCACTGGCTCTTCGGCTTTGAAATGGAGATGAGCACCGCCCTCTAGAGTCGGGAATGACTAGCACATATGTGCAAGGGGAACCTTTACCTTTTTAAAACTTCTAGGGATGTAGATGGGACTGCAGGCAAGATTTTTACTTTTCACTGAAGCGGCTGCCTCAAAGAAGTACTAGAAAGGGGATAGCTGAGACTGAAATACAGTAGGATACGATCATGACAGGTATAGCAGAAAAGAGAAGAGGCAATAGAGACGTAAAACTTTTTACCACCTACAACAGCAGCAATTTGGGCTTTGTCCATAAGAGGGCAGTGTTCAATAAATCTTGCAGTTCTTTTCTGCTACAGTCCTTCACTTTTGGGTTATTGAGAGCTGGTGGTGTTTTGGTTTTGCAAACCAGCCTGCACTTCTTACATCTGAAGACATTAATAAAATTCCTGTTAGAAAGGAGCTTGACAATAAATCTTGACCCATAAAAAGAGAACTATTGTTAGAAGGGGGTTCAGTTTGCACTTGTATTGGCTGCTACAAGTTCATATGGGAGCTAGGAGAGTTATTGGGGTATGGGTAGCAGTCCATCCATTGAAATGGTGGCTATAGTGGGGCGGCCTATTGGAAACAAATCTGTCAGGGAGTGTGGCATCAAGAGAAGTATCCCAAAGAGTAATGAATCTGAACAAACATTTTTGGGGTTTGGGGGGGAGGGGGAATTGGATGAACAAATTACAACCCATTCTCTTCCTACAACTTAAGACAAAAAATCCCATTGTTGACCCATTGGACATATAGGTCATTATTGATCCTATGCTGTCCCCTTATGGCTCAATCAAATTCCTTGATCTTTCAAACATCTTGCTTGTAAAGAGATACCTATAGAAATCTTAACCAGTGAGTTGCTCCACAAAAATTTCCAATTTAATCTATTTTTCATCCTCAAAGAGATGGGGATGAAAAATTAGATATTTCTTTTTAATTTCTGTTAAAAACAATACAGTTATTGGTTGTTCATCATCTCCTCTCCAGAAAAAAGTATTCCAGAAGAGGATAGATTCAAATCTTTAAGGGGTGTGTAATTATACTCTTTCTTTTATAACGAGAAATTTTTGTTCACAAAAATATTCATTCCAACATTGATGAAAGAATAGCCATTTTATTAAATGTGTGGCTGTGTTCTGAAACCACATTCAGATTTCAGGCAGGTTAGCTTTTCAACAGCAAATATTTAACACTGAAGACTTGTGAAGTATTGGTAACAGCATTTACAAATATTTACAAGCATGTACATTCAAATGTTTCTGAGTATGTATCTGTATGCAGAGATAAATATAAACATACCAGTGACGGGATTCAAATTTTTTTACTACCGGTTCTGTGGGTGTGGTTTGGTGGGCATGACAGGGAAAGCCTACTGTAAAACCTCCATTCCCTCCCCACTCCAAGGGAAGATTACTGCAAAATCCCCATTGTCTCCCGATCAGCTGGGACTCGGGAGGCAGAGAATAGATGGGGGCACAGCCAGTCAGAGATGGTATTTACTGGTTCTCTGAACTACTTAACATTTCCGCTACCCGTTCTCCAGAACTGGTCAGAACCTGCTGAATACCACCTATAAAACATAGCCATGTATATGTACCACACAAACATGGCAAGAGAGGGGGGATGGCGGAGGGAGAGAGGGAGGGAGGGAGGGAGAAAGAGAAGGGGGGCTTTTCAAAGGTGAAAAGAATATGCCCACAGGTATTCACAGTGTAATTCTTTCCAAAACCCCTTTGAGCTCCATCCATAATAAACTTCTCAACAGAAGTTATGTGAATTATTTTATAAATATCTCTCTCTCTCCCTCCCTCTCCCTCTCCCTCTCCCTCTCCCTCCCTCTCTCTCTCTCTCTCTCTGCATATCTGTTTGTGTGTGTTGACAAAAAAGAGATGCATGGTTTTACACTAGGGATAATGGGTGTAAATCTGGCATCTGAAAAAGCCATGATAAATACCCTTCTTTGTTTCATTAGTGAAGTCATTAGTTCACCCTCTTGTTAGATATATTAGGGCTAAAGGAGATATCCATCTGTTAATACACAATTCCAGCCATATTAATATAAATTTGTCAAGAAAATTGTCTTAAGTATTTTAGTACATGTTATCTGCAGCTACTTTCCAATCACTTCTTATATTACGGAATGACATAATATGGATTAGATCAGCAATAATTTCCTGTTTTAATTGCATGAAAGATACATTCAATACCTCCTGAATCCTCCTGATTTTTATGCACAACAATGAAAATTCAAGAATAATATCCGTGCAACTCCGAGACTACATCACAGTGGAAAGAAGCAGAAAACAATGTTGCTTATGGTGCAATTCATTCAGATCTTTGGAAAGACAGCCTTTAAAGCTTGTGCTTGAAACACAGTCCCATTACAACTTTAAAAGCACCCTTGCTTATTTGTACGCAGGAGTGAGAACACATCATTTCTCTGCTCATTTCAGAATTCAAGAGATCTCTTCCTTGCTTAGACATAGTATTTATCTTCAGGACTCTCAATCCAAAGGAGTGCTAAGCTTACTTGAATTCATGAAATACTTGTACTTAACTCCATAATGTATAGGGAGGGGTAGGGCAAGGAGGGTGCATGGAAGAAACATGCAATGTAACACCACAAAAACATGTTATTCTTTTGCCCTCACAGCACAATTTCATGTGCAAGTACATAACAAGTCAATTTACATTATATACATTTCATTACTTTGATAACATTTTGATTTGCAGATACACCTAAGGATGGAGTCACTGCTGAAGTTCTGCTCAATGCTGTAGGAAGGTCCAAGCCAACATCAATGCAGCAGCAAAACTATCATATCATCATACTTTGTAATCACTGTTGCACCTGAGTCAAAATTGCCTGCTGTTAGGATTCAATTTCCAATTTCATTATAACAATCGTTTCATAAAATAAAATCCAGCTACATGATTTCTTCCCCTGCTCCAACATAAATTCCTCTTTCATTAATCTGGTTTATGTGTCACACAAAACAGAGGTTGGACTCATTGTGGTTTGTTGAAGTACCATTTGCATGTTGTTTAAATAGTCTTTATGTACCTATTTTTTTTTAATGAAAATAGTCTTATTTACAACAGGTGAATGCATGTTTCACATTCTGCTATGCCATAAACCATGGTTTGCAGACCACAATAGCTGGTATACACACCACATTAAGCCACAATTACAATGGCTGAAATCACATATTGTCCTTAATAAAATGTATGGGCCCAAGGACTCTTTCTCTTAACCATGATCAAGTACAAGGATGAACAACCATGGCTACCAGACCATAAACAGACATTAGCCTTATTGAATGTAGCTTTCATCCTAATTTTAAAAGTCTTTCGCAAGTCAAGGAAGCCATTTGAACCTGGGGCCAAAATGTTTAGCAAAAGGGAAGAGAGAGAGAAAGAAAAAAGAAATTCAGAAAAAGAGAAAGAGACCAAAGGAAAACCCAGGAAGCAAAGGGAGGCCTCAAGGCAAAACCATGGAATTCCCACTCTCCCGAAACCTTTGGAATTCCCTGTCTCTCCCACTTGCTTCACCATGGCCTTCAGGTTACAATAACCCTCCACGGGAAAAAGAAAGAAAATATGTTAGCTACCACTGGTCTAATAGAGCATTATAGAAGCTAACTAGGTTTTCCCTTAGCCCAGGATTACAATTCTACCTCAGGCTGAGCTTTTGACTTCTGATTTCAAATCCTTGGTAAGCTAAGAATCACAGTTAGACAAACGGGGGAAGAAAAAATAATAGGAAGTCAACATCATGTCTGCAGAGTCCTGCATCTCTTGTGTGCTGATAGATACATAAGGGTTGATCAAATGACCTTACCCTGAAATGATATTTCCAGAACACCTCCACCCCCCCCTCATCACACACACTTCCAATCTCCCTTCATATGCTAGAGAGCCTTCTCCTTGGTACTGTGGACCCCGCTGTGTTTTTGGCATGGATTTCACCTCTCACTTCTCTGGGCCCTGAGGCTTGCAAATGGCAACTACCATTCAGCCAGCTGTTATCACCCTTACCACAAGCATTTGTGCTAGGAACCGGAGGGGTCCCGCTCTTAGAGTCCAGAGAACTTTGATTGATACTGATACTCCCTGCACTCTTGGAAGAGTAATTGTACAACATTTTAAGGAAGGCAGATTTAGTATTCGCTTCTTGCTTATACAGGATGATGTAGCACTTGGGGAAGAAAGTACAGCACAAGATCCCATAGTTTGATATTAAAATGACAATGATTTCAACCGCGGGCAAGTACTTGCCAAAAGTGGTTGTGTAGACCGGGATGAATATAATCCATGCAATGAAATAGATGAGCATGCCAAAGGTAATGAATTTTGCCTCGTTGTAGTTTTCAGGGAGTTTCCTGCCTTTAAAAGCACAGATAAAGCAGATGAATGCGAGGAGGGCAATGTATCCTAACATGATGCCAAGGGCCACTCCTGAACCTTCATTGCATTCCAGGATGATAACTCTCCTGATGGAGAAGTTCTCCTGCACGAAAGGGCTTCTCACAGTGATCCAGACCGAACAAATCAAGATCTGAATCCCTGTGCAAAAAGACACTATGGGGATGGGCCTGTAGAGGCCCTTCAGCCATTTTTGTAACTTGGGATCGAAACTGAAAGCCAGCAAGATTTTCAGGGATTTAATCAAAATGCATGAAATGCAGAGGGCAAAGCTAATGCCAAAGAGAGCTTGTCTTAGTTTGCATTTATAGGCTTTGGGTTGGCCAATGAATAAGCTTGAGCTAACAAAAGCCAGGAAATGACAGAGGAGTATAACGTAGCATACAGTTAGGCCACCTGATGCCTTTACGACAGGCGTGTCCACATTTCGAGTAAATATTATGAAAATGGCACCAATCAACACAATTCCAAGGGCAGAGAGCACCACTAACAAAACAGCAAACCAGTCATTCCAGTTGAGGTATTGAACCATCTTCCTGTAGCAGGTTGAGCTGTTCACTGGGGCCCAGTGGGTTCGGTTGTTGCATAAAATGCAGTAATCCATATCTATGCATAGAAAAAATAAAAAATATCACCTATCAGTTCCCTTAAATTGTTGAAAATTTAGAAATGCATCAACTTGGTTCATTAGAATGAATTGTTTTTGTTTATAATTTGAGAGATATTTGGTCTGACAAAAGTCTAAGCATAAGTTTAGGGAATAAGAATGGGAAAAACATTCTGAGCAGTATATTAGAATAGTTTTCTAATATTCTCATTTGAATAGTTTTCAAATCAACCATCTGCAGTGGCATCTGCAGCAAATTACATTATATTATAAATTATATTAAAATGAAGATGTCCACTCAGTGACAGTATCTTCTGACTATTTGTATGATGCCATGGCATGTACTGAATATAATATCTCTTCACCCCCACACCCAATCCTTCATAGACTCATGTCTGCCATATCTAATGAAAAGGAAGGAGCCTGGGGGCTCACATGATTAGGATGCTGGATTGGAGGTTAGCAAAACCATGTTTCAGACCCAAATGCTGCCGTGGAACAGGGTGAGCTCCTGTCCTTGCTCTAGCTGCTTCCAGGGACATGAAAAGAGCCCCCCACTGGGTGTCCCCCAGGCAACAGTGATGTCACTGTCTAATCCTTTAAATCCTAACACCCTGTAATGCAAATGAAGAAGGGAGAAAGAGATTCCCTCACCTCCAGTTCTCAGTGGCAGATACAGACAGATCCCTACTCAATACTCATGCTTACCACAGTCACATGAGAAATCTATAAACAGGAGTATACCGGCTGTATCTTTTCAAGGCTCTTCCCATGAAATGTTTATCAACCGATCCCTTGTTTCAGGAAATGTCCTATACATTCCTTCTGCATTACTAGATGTGGTCCTTTTAATCAGTGGTGGGATTCAATTTTTTTTACTACTGGTTCTGTGGGCGTGGCTTGGTGGGCATGGCAAGGGAAGGATATTGTAAAATTTCCATTTCCACCCCACTCCAGGGGAAGGATACTGTTAGATTGGCGAGAAACAGCAGGAAAGAGGTGCGAGTGAGTTTCAGCTCTTTTTATTGCAAAAGTAAGTGACTGCGCTCTGCTCGCTGGGCTGCTGGAGCTCGCCTTTAAGGAACTCCAGCAGACCAGCCGGCCAATTATAGTTGTTTAAACTTCCCAGGGTTTGCGCAACCAATCCCCGGTGAGCATGTGAAAACATGTAAATTTAACAATGTACATCTGTACGTAACACCCCTCCCCTCCTAGAATGAACTATGTCCAATCCCCGGCCTACATAGGTGCCGTAGTCTTTCAGGTAGGCAGGGCACTCTGGTCTCCTACATAACCTGTGCAGATCACTTGTCTCTGGAAGCTTGGCTGGTGCGGTAGAACCTGCTGTTCCTCTGGCTGCCGGGGAAGGAACCTTCTGGAGCTCCTCGGCCTGCGAGTCAAGTTCCAGCCTGGTTCCTTCAGCTCCTGAAATGCCATTTCTTTGCAGGATGGCTTTGGACGCAGCTACGTGTTTGCAGCTTGGGTTGGATGGTCATCCCTTGATCTTATGGCTTGGTGGGACTGGTTCCTGCCCATCGGCTTCCCGGCAGTCGGTTGAGCATGTCCCACGGGACGGAGACCTGGGGTTCTCCAGGAGTTGTTCTGAACTGGCGGGTGCGGTCCAATCACTCTGGTTCCTCAGTTCAGCGTCCTCCAGGCAGTGTCGGAGCTGGTCGATGTGCCTCCTCTAGATTCACCCATCCTCTAGCTCCACTCAGTACGACTTTGGCCCAGTGACGACCACGATTCAGCCCGCCATCCAAGTCGGGTACCCAGCATAGTTGTGGACAAATACCTGGTCATTTATGTTGAACTCCCGGGTTGGTTAAGCAGAATCCAGGGGGTTCTCTGGAAGGTAGTCCGGGTGGTACCAGTTGAGTCTGGACCGCAGTCTTCTCCCCATCAACAGCTCTGCTGGACTCTTGTTGGTGGTCGCATGGGGACTGATGTGTTGGGTGAAAAGGAATTAGTTGACCTTTTCCTGCCAGCTTCCTGGTCCCATTTGGGTGAAGGTTTCTTTTGTGAGCCTCACCATTCGCTCGGCCTGTCCATTGCTCGCTGGATTGAATGGGGCAATGAGAACATTTTTTTTTAGGATTTTTAGGAATTTTTTAATATTTGTAGGCCGCCCTTTTCCCTGAGGGGACTCAGGGCGGCTCACATAAAATCGGGGAGGGG